AAAAAAAAAAAACCTACAGCAGTGGGTAAGAGCGCGGAAAAGAAAAAGGAAAAGGAAGCACATGTAGAGCATGACAGACAGACAGACAGACAGACAGAGACACAAAGTCCCGTTCACACTGGCAAGGTGCACGGCACAAAATAATGAAACGCCATCATCAGCATTCACGTGCCAAGCACGCAGACTCACACGTTTACATCCATGGGGAATGCGATCAAACAACGTGCCGCACCACCCAAACTAGTCCTCACTGCACCAATACAAGCATCCCAACGAGGCAGAGCAAGGTGAAGCGCGGGCACCACTACTCTTATTGCTTCAGCAGAAACATCAAGATCTTGACAAAGCTGTCAAAGGACACCGGCTCCTCTGCATGCTGCTCCACGTGCCGCTGGAAGAAGTCGCGGTGGTTTTCCAACCAAAACAGCTGGATCGCAGGGCTGCGGTCGTACAGCGCCACCACATCCTCTCGCATGAGTTCGCCGGACTCTGCGCGGCGCGCCAACGCTGCGTAAAGTGCACGGAGGCGAACTGACCTCGAAAGCAGAAGCGACACGTCCTCTGCCTCGATTACGGGCGCCGCACCGGACGTGACGTGGGCTGCGATACCGGAGGAGAGGCGTCGTTGTGAGAACTGCTGCGGCACCGGCAGAGCCCGCCGCGGCGGCATGTCGCCCAGCCCGCCCGGTATGCCCAGCAGCTGCTGCCCCGGTATGATAGACTGCAGGAATCCCGTCTGGGCCACCTGCCCCTCCACCGAAAGCGTCGAAATGCCCGAGAGGCTGCGTCGTTCAACCTGGTGCTGCTGATTCTGTGGAACCGGCTGCGGCGGGGCGAATATGCCCTGTGTCGCCTTTTCAAGGGCGTGCTCGCGCAGAAGGAGGTCTAGTTCTCGCGCGCGGAGGAGCTTCACATTCGTGGCCAACTCTGTCCGCTCCTCTGCGAGCTGCAGTTCAAGATCTTCCGCTTTCTTCTGCCACGCGGCACCCTCCTGTGGTGTAGTGCGGCCCGCTGCACGCGTACCAGCCGCACCCGCATTTCCCGCCCCCTCGCCCGATGATAATTCTCCGGTGTAGTACGACACGTGTGCCTCCGGGTTGGTACCTTCGATACGGAGGGCGCTTGCTNGCGTCAGCGGGCCGCGGTGGACGCCACGTTGCGGCACACTCACTAGTGTCCAGTGTGGACGCACCACGGACGTGGTTCCGCTCACCGGCGCGTCGCTCTTGTTGCCTCCGGGCTCCGTCAGCACCGCTTGGGCTCGCATGTCCGCGGCGGAGTACTGCGTCGCGAAACCGAACACAGCAGAGATGCAGTGACTCGCCTCCGTCAAGTTTGAGGCGGCATGCACGGCGTTGCGGATCAAATCCCGCCCGATGCGTGCACGGATGCTGCTGGGCGCCACACGGCGAGCGTCAATGGGGTTCTCCGGCCCAACTATTTCCAGCAGCCGCTCCACCGCGTTTTGCCGCGATAGCTCCACCGCCAGGCACGTGCCACCGAACGCAAGGTGCTGCACGTGCTCATTAAGAAGATCCTGATATGACAGGGACTCGAGCATCGTGTTTTTTAACACTGCCGCCGTCGCCACGCGGCGGTCGGGCTTGTGTTCTCGGTTCATCTCGCCCCCAACACCCGCACCACCACCTGCAGACGCAACAGCAGGAGTACCGCGGACATCTGCGTCCGTCGTGACGGCATCGGGGACGCCACCAGTGGCGTCTGGCAGCCCCGCGTTGACGCCGTCCTCCGTGTTGCCGTGGCGGCTGGTGAGGCGCAAGATCTCCGCCATGATACTCTGGTGTGACTCCAAATGGTTGCGGTGGCGCTTGATGATAGTCCCGCTGCCCTTGGCACCGCTGTCGCCGCCATGCTGACCCAGGCCTGCCATGTTGGTGCCAGAGCCTCCCCCATCCCCCGCCTCTCGACGCTTGGCGGAATGTGATTGCTGATCACCCGGCACACCGGTCCTGCCCTGGGAGAAGAGCTTCTCCACCCCGTGGTCTGCGTGCATGCAATGCCTCACACTTTGAAACGTGCTCGCGATCTCTTCCGCCAGAGTGGGCGTGATGATGAAACATTTCGCGAGCACCTGAAAACCCGCGTCTGATACGGTCTGGAGGATGTAGCGGTGGTACTGTTCGGCGTCCGGCTTGCACAAGAGGAACGTGTGCTCCACCACGTGAGCGGTGTCCTGCTTTGGCGTTGCGATGTACATATCAACTCCTCCGCCTTCTTCCTCGCCACTTGCTCCCTCACGTATGCCCCCCCTTGCGCGCGGGTGAAGTGAAATGCGGTGGCAACCAGAGAGGAGGTGGTTTGGTGGTGGAGACACACACACACACACACACACA